AGGTATAAGAGCTCTTGTAGTAGGGAGGGAATTCTGCCAGCTGAGGCTCTGTTGGAGGTAGAGCGGAAACATTAAGATTATTATTGTTATTGTGTCTAAATCTGCCCTAGAGATGTTACATGATACTTGGCATAATTATTATTATTTTTTTGATCGAAGAACAAGACATTCAGATATTTCTGTCAGTGCTCAAGACTCTCACCAGATAGGTAAAATGGCCGTCTGGTTGTGACAGGCAGCTCAGGTAGAGAAGGTATTGGGCAGTCGGGCTCTCGCTCACACTTGATGAAGTCATACGGGTCTCTGTGGGACGGCCGAGTGACCGAATCTACCTGGGGCCGCTCTGGGGAATTACATTCCTCTGGTTCCACAGGGACCAGCGCTGGGACTAAAAAATAGTACATCACAAGATTGAAAAATGCATGTGGTACAATTGAGCTCAATAGCTATCAAAATGAAAGAAATTTGAATAAAATACAAAATTTGAATCAAAAAAGGGCTTTAGAACAAACATCTTTGGTTCCTCAAAGAACCTTTCAGTAGAAGAACATTTTTTCTCGGTGTGAAGAACATCTAAAGAATCTAAAGAACCCTTTTCAACTATAAAGAACCTTTTGTGCAATGGAAAGGTTCCATGGATGTTACAAGTTCTTTGTGGAACCATATGTGGATGCCAAAAAACGTAATGTCAATGCATTAGAAAACAAAATATTAAACCAAGTTTGTTTTGCTTCAAATGTAAGCTTGTGCTATCTGTCTTCAAAAAGAAATACCCTTTGGTTTTATGGTTCTATGGTTTTTATCGGTTTTAATGCAATTACTTTACGATGCAAAAACATTCATATATTTTTATGGCCATTTTATTCCTTTATAAAATAGATATAATATGGCATATTATAATATGGCAGCTCCTTTCTAAAGTAAAACAGATAAAGCATGAACATTTAAATAAACTGCAATTAAATGGAGGTGTGTACACGAAAAGCTTTGACAGCATCAAACAGACAGATCTGAGATTGTTCCTCACACTTAATTACACAATTACATTTTCTCCAAATGAACCCTGTAAAGAGCAGTTATATCCAGTCACAATATACTGCTCTCTTGTTTGAATAGGGCTAGTTTGCATATTCGTAACATCCAGCCTAACTGCTCAACAGCTTACAGACTTCCATGGAATACAACCTATTGAGCTACCTTAGTAAACTACACATTAGACCCACACTGCTGTCTTAAGTAAGCAGTTGTCAAGGTTTTAGACACAGCCCTATAATCATATAACAGTCAGCCTGAGGCTGAGGCACCATCAGCAAACACCAATCTGACAGGTGCTCAGCACATCCTCTCAGCACTCTCTCTAGACAAATCATTTATTTACCCCACAGAGGAGAATTACAGATTCATAATTATGTACATGAGTATAAATCATACAAAAACAAAAGGACATTTTAATTACATATCACTGTGGATTGTTCATCTCATAAACACCACATGTCAGACAGGTGAATTTGGAGGTCAAGTTGAATTGATTTTTGAATGTTAAACTATTTCAAATACAACAGTTCAAAGTATTTTAGTATAAATCCAGCAATACTACAATATAATAATGGCACTTACTTGTTTTGGGTGTTGGGTCCGGGAGTTTCTGTTCACTTTGCTCGGTGTCGATGGGTCGGTGCACATTGTGAGACTTTTTACTTTTCACCAAGAATGATCGTGGCATGATGATTCTGTAAAATGAGATTTGTTTACTGATACTTTCATTTTCATATTTGTTATGATCACCAAAAACGATCAGCTATTACAAACTTATAGAATAACGAAACTTATCCAACTAATTACAAATGTCAAAAAAAAACTTGTATGATAGGCTATTACAAATGAAGGAAAAAAAAGTATGATAGTCATTTCTATATCATGTTCCTTTCTCTGTTCAATATCAATATTCCTGTCTCTGTCTAAAAAATGAAACCGCCAAATAAAATGGAACCTTTACACAGTTATTACAGGGTACAATATTTGGTGTTGCTGTTGCTGTTTTGAAAGTTTCAGTCAAACTTTGGTTTGAGACAGATTTTTTAACATAAATAACCTAAATATACCAAATTACTGTTTAATAATAAATAATTATTTAAATATAAACAAAAAAGTAATGATAATAATAGTCTTGAGGTTAAAAAACTTTTAAATAATTGGCTTTAATTGAAAAATGTAGTATAGCCTATATGAAAATATCTTACCTGAAAAAAAAAAAACTGAAAACTTAATGTTTAAGGTCCTTTGATTGTTTTTAGTGGAAAACTTCGCGTTGAAAAGCGCAGGGAAATCCGTTGTGATGTTTAGAAACTTAAGCACTGCATCGCTGTGAGTTGGTTGCGTTGAGTTTTTTCAACTCCCCTCCCTGATTTTCAATCCGATAATTCTGCGGTGGAATCTGACTGAGCTTTCAGCCAATTACAGACAGAGCAGGTGCGACATTTGCCTACTGAACGCAAACTTAAACATCCTGGTGTGGTGGGCACTCTTTTCCATAATGATTTAGCAACATGTTTAAGATATTTCAAGAAATACTAGATATTATTTTAAATTCTTCGTTTGCATTTTTATATATATTTATATATTTTTACATTTTATATTAGCCCACATCTCTACTTCTACGGGACTTTTAGAAGGTTAATTGGATAACAGATGTGTTAAAAGTTGGAGATAGGCTATATTGAAAAAAATGTATTTTAATTATCTGCTGTCAGTTTAGTAGCCTAATTTATTATCTTTGTTAATGGTCATCTGTTGACTTATCTGCTGTAGAACAGCTAGCGGGCTTAAAACATAAAACCAATAAACCAGCAACAAACTTTGCTTGAACGTACACCTCAAAATACACACCAAACCTGTAATGTTGGTATCTCCGAATGTTTGCCTACTTTTATTTGCTCAGTTGTGTTTTGGTTGCAGCCTTAGGCGTTTTTATGAGATCTTTGATTATTAAAAGCACAACTAGATTATTAACGCACTCTTTGTAAAACTAAGCGTCTTAGGTGTTTATTTATTGAGTGTCTAATCCTGGTGCGTTTTTGCTCCATTCAACATTGTTCATTTAAAGATTACCGGAGGTCAGTTTTTATTGCCTTGTGCGCGAAATATGGAATCGATTAATGTATTTACGCCCCCGTGTGGATTGGTGGTGAATTGCGTCGCATCTTTGGGTGACTCTTCAAAATATAATTACATTTTTTATGTGTTGCAGTCTTTCTTTTCTTTTACTAGCTTTCCTTCATCTTCTATTAAAGTATATTACTTTTGCTGAAAGCCCTAACTTGCATAAAGTAAATAAAATTATGTTCGCTATTTTGACAGGATGGTTCACTGAAATCCGCAAATTCTATGATAGTAAGAACTGTGCATCAGGTTTTGACTGTCGTGGGCTGTTGTGAAAGAGTCATTACAGAGTATTTTACAGTTTTAATCAGAGAGCAGAGTGGCGCAGAGGGAGCGTGCTGGGCCCATAACCCAGAGGTCGATGGATCGAAACCATTCTCTGCTAGATACACTTTTCTTTCGTAATAAGGATGGAATGATTTAAAACGACAGCTTGTAATCTCAAATTTAATATAGTTTACGCAACCAGTTTATTATAGGCCTACTTAACTAAAACTAAAACCACAATAAAATTCGTTTCTTGAAATAAAATAAATATAAAAGAACTAAAGAAATAAAATAACTGATTTTATTTCAGCTAGTTGGCAATGAAACATCCAATTTATATTTAGTTTAATAACAATTAATAAAACTAGATAGACGTTCAACAAAAATAAAAACTAATGACATAGCCTATACCACAATATTACTAAAACTAAAATTAATTAACAAAGAATGAACTAGAATGTAACATTAAAATAATTAGTAATACAAAATATTGAAAAAAGCCTAAAATAGTAACTCAATAGTACTAAAATAATACTGTACACAACTGCAGGAATTACATTAAAGAAGACTAAACAGTAAGTTGCATGTAGTCAGAACAGAGTTAAAACACCCATTCTTGGATTCACAAAATATTGATCAATTTGGTCAGTCAGATATGAACAAAAAGGCATCCAAAACACCAATGTGAGTGTTGCAAACACTTAAGGATTAAGGCGTTGTGCTAATTTTTTTGTATTTTGAGTATTTTGAGGCAAGAATTCGCTGATGTAAATAAATAGAAGTCTATGACCATGATGAACCACTAGAGGGACATCATTCTCCACTAAAAAAAAACTTTGTCTTCTCCAGGACATTTAAACCATTGCATGCATTTATTATAGGCCAGTTGCGCAGAAATTATTTTTCACTTCTTATATTCATGCAGAGATCAGCGAACAAAATTAAACATTACTGAAAGATGAGATATGTGATAATGAGTGTAATGTTAGGAGATAATGGATAAGGCTGTGAATGAATTACCACAGTTTTATTCTATTTGGAAATTTGTGATCTCACCCTCATGTGATTACATGATGACATACATGATGACACAATTGTAATTTTAGGTAAAGGTTTTTTCAAATGTCATTATTTATTTATTTAGTACTTTTTAAAGTAAATAAATCGTTTATTAGCCTATATTTGGATTTTAATCTTAATATATTCTTATATATTATTTATTTATGTATGTATGTATGTTTAGGGGGAAAAAAATACTTTTTAAATATAAATAGTTTATTAGCGTCTATTGCTGGTCAGATTCAGCGTCTGCGCTCACCACCTGAGTCACGCGAAAACCGCATTACAGAGCGCTGCATCCCTCCACCCTTCAGAAAAACAACTCGGGGCCTAACTGCAGGATTCTCTAAAACTTTCATACACGAGTCTTACTCCCGTCACAATTCACTGTATTTATAAAGTATGACTGTTGCTCATTTCTGACCACATTCACGCCATATGTCCATGTTCTGCGTCCAGATACAGGCGTGTTTTTGAGCGCTCGGGGATTATTTCTTCTGCACAGTTGCGGATGGTGACTGCGCAGGGAGGGGTTGTGAGGTGTTCAAGATGGCGGCGCCCTGTGGAGTGCAGTTGCTCTAACAGGTAAACAGGTTTATTAAACGATGTTTTTTGTGGTGATATTTGTACATCATACGCAGTGACAGTCGGAATGTTAGATTTGCTCGCTCCTCAGTATTTTACGTGCATTATGGAGTCTCTCAGGCGTTATTTCTGATTTGTCGATAATAAGGCTCTCTTGCCTGGGACTGTCAGTGTCAGTGAAATAACAGTCCTCAATGATTGTTACAATTTCGAATTGAATCTTCGCGTGCATATACACGAGTTTAAGAGGAAAGTTGAAATGCATGGGGGAATGTTTCATTTTGTTGGCGCATTTATTTTGGAGACAATCCCGCAGATTCTGGCCATTGTTCTCTCGCGTTGTTTACGCCAGTGGTCATTTCAACACAGAACTGCTGTCAGTGAATGCAGCCGAAACCACAACGTCTATCTGCACATGTGTGCTCTGTTATTTTGCAGCATGCAGAGGCTAAAATACAGACATATGTTGTGGGATTTGCTGGCTTTTGCACGCGCTTGCGCGTTTTTAAACAGAAATCCTTTTGCAGGCAAATCATGCAATGCAGTCTCAAACATTACCTTCTTTTATTTTGTGATCATTGCATATCGGCATTTTTGCACTATGAGTCTTATGTCTTGCTGTTTAAGAACTTACAGTTACTGTATATTTTTATATAGTAACTATATGTTTTTTTTTAAAATAATATTCTTTCTTTTTTTTTTAAAACAGTGCACATTTGTCTCCCTCATGTGTAAGTGACACAAAATGAAAGATTTTGAGACCCAAAACTCAGTTAAGCTTCGAAAAGCAAGAGGAAGACGTGACAACTTATACACAACCTCTTTAAGGAATTAGTTTATGAGGTCCTGAACATGGCATATAAAGCTTCTTTGTGCTGTTAACTGCCTTGTTTTCTAGTTGGCAGGCACAGGCACAGTTCGTGTTCAGGTCGTCCAGAACTTCATCTTATTAGTGTTTTTTCCCTCTGAATGCGATGCATGCTCTTTGTTTGTGGGCTACAATCATGAAGATAATCAATGAACTTCTTTGTATCTACTGTGCCGAGTGATTTCCATTGAGTGGTCAGTTTGCCATCACCCTTCCCTAGATGGTTCTCATCTTGCACAAAGTTATGCTTAGAGCAGTGCTTTGTGTTTCATAACAGCTGTTTGTTTGGTTGAGAGCTGCAATGGTCTCCAGCAAGGAGACGGTGTCCTTTTAGCATTTGTTCATGTTGCATGTCTGACTGTCAGCTTGAGGTGTTGGTGACTCTTGTTACTGTCAAGATCAAGCTGGTTAGGATGTAGGTTTAGACCCAAATCTGAAGGAAGTTATTGCTGTGAGGATGTGGCAGACCTTTCAGCGTCAAATACAAAGAAGTATATCTATTATTACATGGGGAAGACAACATCCTGATAGTCTGCCTTTAAACATTGGGGCTAGAGTGAGAGTCTTTTGTGTCAGTTGATGGAACTGTTACTAGCTGATACTGATTTGCATTTTTACTGCATTTTGCATGGCATTTGTAATGGGACTTAAGATCTCTTTTTTCAAATAAATGCTCTTCTTTTGAACAATAAAAGAATCCTGAAAACAAATGTATCCTAGTTTTGCACAAAAATATATAAAGCATCAGCAACTGTTTTCAAAATTGCACCAAATCAGCCTATTAGAATTCTTTCTGAAGGATCATGTGACACTGAGGACTGGAGTAATGATGCTGAAAATTCAGCTTTGCTGTCACAGGAAAAAAATATCACATTTAAAATTGAATTGAAATATAAAACATTAAAACAGTATAAAAGTTACCATTTTAGCCTTTAAAATGCTACTTCACTCCATTCGTAGTAAAAATTCACTGCTTAACTTAAAAAAAATTGTGTTGTGTGTGCTTAACATGTTACACTGCTCTTGTGTTGTGTAGTATATTCTTGTATATGTCACATTTCTCTGGTCTCCTTATGAATTTTCGTTGACTATAGCTATGCATTGACCGAATGTTGTCAGGCTGGTGTGACAACTGCTGACTTTTGTCGTGTCTGTGCAAGAACAGTTCGCAACATGTGAATCTTGTATGCTTCAGAATCTGTTGGGTTTGTTGTTTACTTGCCTGAAACGGCCAACCCACATTGCCACAGCTGATGTTTATAATGGTTCATCATAATTCTGTGGAAATTTTCCTGCATATCTTGCAGTGTTTTACTCACTCTCGATTGGGAAGTTTACTTAAAGGCAGAAACTGCAAGATGTTCTCATGAATATTTAATCGAGACAGGTGTTTCTAGGCAAGTGATGTAAGTCCTCAAATGTGTCTTGCAGTGGTGCCTGGAGACTGTATTGACGGGCGGCCCAGGGACCCCTCCAGGCTGGACAGGACACGGGACACCTTGAGAGTGACGTCAAAGAGTCCTTCCCCTCTCCCTAGACTGTTTCAGAGACACCCGCCTCCGAACCCTCCATACCACCATGTCCAGGGAACAGCTCAACATGGGGGACCTGCTTCCTCTGCTGGAGACCTCTGACCTCCGCCAGCTGGATGAGATCAAGGGCCTTATCAATGAACACCTCAACACAGGTCCAGACTAATACTGTTAGCAGAGGCAGCCTCGGGAGCTTTTACCTAGATTTTGTGTCGAATTTTTAAGCTTCTCGATGTTTGCTACAGGATCCATATTATAATTCCCTGCAGTGTTTTATTGCATGACTGACAGTCCAAATCGGTTCATGTTTTGCAGATCGAGGGTCCGTGCTGCTGAACGGCTTGGTGGACTATTTCCTGGAGACCAACTCCGCCCAGGCAGTGCACATCCTGTCCTCAGTGAGAGAGCCACATGATAAGGTGACTGACGGCCCACTGATTTTTCTGTTTGGTTTCTAACACAGTCTAAACTTATACACAGAAGAGAATGTTTGCAGTCTTTTCTGGATCTTTTCTGTTTCTCACTCAATCCGTTTTCCCTGAGGTTTTCTGCCAAATTAAAAGCGTGAAAGTATAACCTTTGAAAATAAATATTAGTAATGTAATTTACGGTTGTACAATATTATTTTTTATTATTAAATACTCCAATTTTTTATTTTACAGTATAGTAGTTTTATTACAACATAATTCTTATTTTGTTTAATATTTCACAATAAAAATGATTGTCATTGTTATTTTACAGTAATACTGATGGAATGTGGCCTATGATGACTGAAGTGGAGAGATTTTTTTTTTTAAGCTCTGTTTTAGACTGGTTGTTTGAAACCAAAAACAAGATATAGAATATACATTTGTCTTACTATATATATATTTTTTACATAAAATCAACTATTTTTGACAAAAATGAAAGTAGTTGTATTGTGTGAAAAAAAATTAAAATATACAATTTCATGCAAATGATTATTCAATGACTTTATTTAAAAATGATAAGTAGTAGCTTGAGTACAGTTAAAAATCAATTATTTTATATCTTTGCTGAAAAGATATAAACCCAAGTGTGAACGTCCACATTGTTTCCCAAATCATTCAGCCCTAAAAGCATGGTTTGCATTCAAAAAAAGTCTTCACAGTAAAAATAAAAATAAATACATAATAATAGAATAAATAAATAAACCTTTTTAAATGATATTTTTAAGCAAATGCATTACCGTACAAAATCAACCCCTATGATTCTAGAATTATTAATGGTTTCCAAATAACACTGTTCAAATCATCTGGTGAAAATTCCTGTTTTTTTATATCACAGTATATATCTCAATGTCAATTTTTTCCCCATTATCTTGCAGTCCAGATTAGTTCCCATCAATAATGTGAATATTACACACTTCACCTTTAAAAAGTGTAACCATTGGAGCTTGTGTGTAATATGCAACCAGCCTACATTCTTAGAGTAAAAAACACCAGTGAAATATGAACAAATTTGAGATGCTTCATTTAAACTCCGAGCATATCAAAATATCTTCAAGGTGTATTTCTCTTTCATTTAATTAATATTTAATAACAACAATAAACGTCTAGGGCAGAGAATACATTATCAACCATTATGTGTCTTGTTTACAATATGACTTGTCTGTGTTGTCTGTTTCTCAGCACCTGTTTGATAAAATGAATGAATGCATGGCTAAAGCCCCCTGTCGCCTGCCCACTCTCACTCTACTGGGGCACGTTGTCCGTAAGCAGCCGTCTTGGATCCACAAGATCACTCGCTATCCGCTGCTGCTATCTCTCCTCAAATGCCTCAAGGTAAGCTGACAATGTGAAAGATCTCTCAGATATGCCCCTTGTAACCTACAGTATACATATGATAATTTGTGTTTTACAGACAGACACAGATGTTGTGGTTCTGATAACTGGAGTCCTGGTGCTCATCACACTATTACCCATGATTCCCCAAGCTGGCAAGCAGCATCTCTATGAATTTTTTGATATCTTTGGCCGTCTGGCTTCTTGGAACCTGAGAAACCTAGGTAAGAGTTACTAAGCATGCAAGTACTGTATGACTCAGTTATGCAATATTTTTATCCCTGAGGCATGTATTGAAAGCCTCCAGATGGTTTTCGTCTCCCACAGAAATCCAAAAATATTATGAGACATCCTATTACAAATGATTTCATTTGTAATAAGATGCCTCATAATATTTTGGGATGGTTAACTAGCTGTGTGGTCCATCTCTGTTGACAGGACACATCCCGGAGGTTTATCTCATTCACCTGCATGCAAGCGTCTACTCACTCTTCCACCGGCTCTATGGGATGTATCCCTGCAATTTTGTGTCTTACTTGCGCTCCCATTACAGCATGAAGGAGAACATGGACACTTTTGAGGAGGTGGTCAAGGTGAGCTGTCAGTCATACAGTTGCTTGCCCAGGAGGTTTTCCAAATACATGAGATTTAATGAAATTCCATTCAATCCATAATGATTTTCCATAGATTAAAAGTAGAAAATGATCAGTAGTAGGGATACATGAGCAATATATTGATTATCGGCCATAATCATACATACATACAGCATATTTGAACATGCTCATTTCCTTAATTATTACTTCTCAGTTACGTTTTAAATCATGTAACACTCAATTAATCTTTAAAACACTAAAATGGCACTGTTAAAAATAATATTTAGCAAATCTCAAAATTAATATCTGTTTTTCGTACTTTTATTATAATACTTTGATGCAACTTGTAGCATTTAAAATGATGATGAAAACAATGATTTTTGTTTTTACTGTTTTATTTTTAATTTATATAAGCAAAATAGTATAGAATTTTACAATTGACCATTTATCTGTTATTAGCCATAACATGACAATTATTATCGGTATACAGTACCAATGCAAAAATTTGGGGTGGTAACATTTTTAATGGCTTTGAAAAAAGTCTCCTATGCTCACCAAAGCTGCATTAATTCGATAAATACAGTGTACAGTATAAACCGTAATATTGTGAAATATTGTTACAATTTCAAATAACTGAAAAATGCAATGTATTTCAATTTGTAATTTATTCCTGTGATGCTAATGCTGAAATTTCTGCAGCCATTACTCCAGTCTTCAGAGTCACATGATCCTTCAGAAATCATTCTAATATGCTGATTTGGTGCTGAAGAAACATTTCTTATTATTAATAATGTTGAAAACAGTCGTGCTGCTTTATGTTAGTGGAAACTGGATTCTTTGATAAATAGAACGTTTAAAATAAAAAATTTATTTAAAATAGAAATGATACTGCAAATGTAACTTTTGATCAATTTAATGCATTTTTGCCAACCCCAAACTTTTCAATGGTAGTGTATGTCAGAATTGTATTATGGGGGCATCCATGACTAACGCCTAATTAGTGATGGTGTGATTAACTGTTGGCGTTTATGTTGTATTTTTGTCTGTGTATATGTTTCAGCCCATGCTTGAACATGTCAGAATCCATCCCGAATTAGTGACCGGAACCAAGGACCATGAACTAGATCCCAGCCGGTGAGGCAATACTGACTTATGTCACTTATTTAAATGCATAAACCACAAGCGTTATAGTCTATCATTTGGTCTCTTTTCTCTCAACAGGTGGAAGAAATTTGAAATCCACGATATCGTTATTGAGTGTGCCAAAGTCTCTCTGGACCCGAAGGAGGCGTCCTGTGAAGAGGGCTATGCCAGCATGCCTGAGCATTTCTGTGCTCATCTACAACAACGTCCGGCTGATTGCACTGCCAGCCCTTACGGCGACTTCCACAGTAGCTACGGTAACGCTCTCATCCTGCCGGTCTACTTTTTTGACCTCAGCATACAGCCAAATAGCACTTTTCAGTGTTTTTTCTATCCTAGAGATGGTGAAGGGCTATATAAATAGATCTATTATTTAGAAAAACTGTCTTTCTGCTAGCAACTGCAAGGTCATGCATGAGTTTAGTTTCTAGGGAATGTGTAAAGTGTTAAAATGTATACCTTAAATACACAACTGACTAAAAACATCTGCCAAATGCATAAAATGTAATCGGAAATGAAGCTAGGCAAGATAAAAACTAACATGATAATGCAGTCACAGTCTATTTTCAGGCAAACTCTGTTTTTATAGCAGTGGCAGGATGCTTTTTTGTGGACATCATTTTTCTGTCCCTTTCCAGGAAGTTCTTCCTCGACTCATTTCTCCACCCCTCGTCAGCCTGTCGTCCCTCCCTTGGCCCTGTCATCTTTCTCAGGGACTCAGCCCCCCTATCGCAGCCCCACTGGAACCCGTTGGCAGGTGAGAGTCCACCAAACTCGGAAATCTACAATCCAGTTTGCAGTTTATAATTTGTTTGCTTTAGCAGCCTAGTTGCAATATTGGAGCTTGTGTTTGGAACTACCTGTTTGAATCCAGTCTGAGTGAATCAGTGTTCTGCATATAAACGGATCCGGGTTGGCGCACTAGTTTGTGCAATAGCACCAGTGCAGGAATCAGCGTCTGCTTCCCTCCTCCCTCTTGTTGTTTGTCAGCTTGTCAGCTGTTGTCCATAAATCACCCATCCCTGAACCCCTCCCTTCCCACTGCACACCAGAGCTCCCCCTCCTTCTTCCACCGTGAATCATCTCCTTGTTCTCCAGGCAGGCTGAGGAGCTGAGAGGAAAGGAGGGGAGAGGGGTTGAGTCATTCCGGTGGGTGTGCAGGGCTTTAAAAAGAGAAAAACATGCCATCTCTTAGCTGACACAGAAACGGTTGTCTTGGCAATGTGAATGACGCCGGAGCGCTTTCTCCTGGCCTGTCACCTCCCACGGTCAGGACCTGTATTCAGCTGAACCCTCTACAGACTGAAAACAAACACCATTGCGTTTGTGTTCTAATGAGCACATTTGGTCCTATGTTAATGTTTTTCTCACAATTCAAGATTATGTTCTCACAATTTTGTTGTGATTTGGTAAATACTTTCTATTAGGAGTGCATTGATTTGTAAATTAGAGGCTGATGCAGACAACGGTTATTTTAAAAGATAGCAATCTGATTGCCAGTTTTTCTCAAGTAGAGCTCGGCACGCAACATCTCTCTAAAAGGGAAAGTGCTTTTCAAGATCTAGTGCTCTTACAGAGTTAAACTTGAACTTAGTTCTAGATGATGATCTCAATATTAAAATAAGTATAAACATTCAAAGGGTTAGTTCACCCATAAAAGAAAATTCTGTCATTAAGTACTCAGCCTCATGCTGTTCCAAACCTGTAAGACCTTCGTTCATCTTCGGAACACAAATTAAGATATTATTGATGAAATCTTGAGAGCTTTCTGACCCTCCATATAGAGCAATGCAACTGAAATGTTCCCAGACCCAGAAACGTAGTGTGACATCAGTGGCTCAACCATAATTTTACGAAGCTACGAGAATACATTTTGTGCGCAAAGAAAACAAAAATAATGACTTTATTCAAGTAATTAATGACAGATTTTCATTTGTGGGTGAACTAACCCTTTAAATATTGGTTGATTATAAAATATGCAATATTGTTCCATATCCAGTATGGTGCAAATATAATGTGCTTTATTACACTTTTCACTATGCCACATGCTGCCGCCAAATGTACTACACTTATGAAATTGCTGGTAAAAGTTTACATTTTGTGAACTGGTTGTTTTTTATGGATAAAGCATAAATCTATTAGATGCCATCTGATAATCACTGGAGTCTGCATGAGCAGTCATGGGACTGATATTGTGTGTGCTTGTGTTTATTTATAGAACACCAGCTGTGAATTTAATGCCACATATGGCTTTAAGGATTCCCTCTGGAGCCCCTCCTCCCAGTGTGGCATGGCCACGCCCCCTTCCTCCTGTGGGATGTCACCGAACCCGGAACTGTCCCAGAGTGCCTCTCACCTACCAACCCGCCTCTACAGCACACCTGGTGATTATACCGTCTATGCTTGTTCACAGGTAGGCAAATCTGGGTCTCCGTTTCCTCAGGCACTAGTATGAATTTGGTTTTGCCATCTTCCCTGTGGCAGGTGGTAAAGGCACCCCGTGCTCTAGCACCCCTGCGGCCGCCTCACCTCCTCCTAGCCTCTCTGATGAGTTTCCCCCTGTGTCTCTGCCTCACAGTACGGCCAGTCCGCCATGCAAGGTACTTCTGTGGAGGATGACCTTTTGTGTGGATCAGTAGTATTCACTTAAGGGGGTAGTTCACCCCAAAATGAAAATTTTGTCATAATTTACTTGTCAAAAACCTCTATTTTTCTTATTAAAATATGTACATTTGTAAAATAAAAATCTGCATTATTTTGACATTTATTGTATGGACAAAAATAGTTAAAACATTCTTTAATTTAAAACATTCTAGAATTTTCGTTTTTGAGTAAAATATCCCTTTAAGCCTTCCTTAACCTTTCTTTGTTAAAACAACTTCAAGTTTGAGACCATTTTTCTTGTGTATAGTTTCACTACAAGTTATTTTACCTTTAGGATGGTAGACCTTTAGACCACACCAAACCCGTCTTGGTCAGACAGGAGCCGGTCAGACAGGAGCCAGACAGAGAGCTTGAGAAAACTGGACCTGAAACGATCAATCACAGAGGTATGTTACATGTAAGAATCATGGAAAACACAAGAACAGTGTTTTGACATAACTAATACAACAGCCTGACATTAAAGTAAAGGTTTAATTCTCTTTAAAATAATAATTATAAATATAAATTATTATAAATAATTCTATAATCTTTGGTCAACATTTTAAAGCGCCAAGCAGAAAAGGCAATAGGGAAGTCAACACCACAACTATAACCATAACTACACAGAGGAAAAACATTGATGAATGATACAAACATTGACAGCCAAACAGAATCCACCTGACTTTAAAAAGTTTGAGCATTTAAAGCAGCAGACAACATAACTGCAGTGCACGCTTATAATAAACACAGTTATTATAAGTGTGGTATTGTAGTAAGTTATTGTCCATTGGTATGGACACTATTGGCGCTTTTCCACTGCATGGTACGGCACGGTACTGTTCACTTTTTGGGGGTTTTCCACTGGGTACAGTACCTGGTACTTTTTTTAGTACCGCTTCGGTTGGGGTTCCAAGTGAACCGTACCGTTACCAAAACGTGACGTGTAAACTCTGCTGATCACGGATTGGCCGGAGAGGATCGTCACTACCTGCGTCACTGAACTTGCGACACAAACACAACAGAACCGCTAGATTTAAATCAGCACAGCCAGCGAAGGATCGAACGCAACTGTTTTGAACGAGCGCACCTTTTTTTAACAACCAAAAAGTTTTGTTGTCTGTTGTGGAAGAACAGACGTTCCTTTCGTTGATAGCAGAGGAGCGGATCCAGCGAGAGCTTGAAAGTTTTTTTTAGGAGTCGTGGTAGTAGAGGCGGCGCAACTATAACGTCATGTGAATAATCCCGCCCACTCTAAAGCGGTACTGAACTGCAGTGGAAACGCAAGCCGTGCCGAGCCGAGTCGAGTCGTACCACGCAGTGGAAAAGCGCCATATGTAGTATGGGAGCTCATTTCTACCACAGAATAAAAAAGGTAATCGCAGCTTTTTTTAATCTCACAATTCAGACTTTTTTTCTTGCAATTCTTAGAAGAAAAAAAAAATCAGAAATGTGAGATTAACAATTGTGAGATAGAAATTTGAGTTTTCGAGGTTACATCTCGCAAGTCTGTTTATGTAATTGCGACTTTTCTCACATATTTTTTTGCGCAATTGCGCATTTATGTTGCACAATTCTGGCTTTTCTTATAAGAATTGCGAGTGTACATCTTGCAATTCTGAGTTTACATCTCACAGTTCTGACTTGTTTTCACAATACTGCATTTACAGGTGCATCTCAATAAATTAGAATGTCATGGAAAAGTTCATTTATTTCAGTAATTCAACTCAAATTGTGAAACTCGTGCATTAAATAAATTCAATGCACACAGACTGAAGTAGTTTAAGTCTTTGGTTCTTTTAATTGTGATCGCAATTCTGAAACAGTTTTCTCTGAATTGGAAGAAAAAAGTCCAAATTGTGTGATGAAAAGTTAATTAAAGAATATTATTGTAAAGAATCTTTTTTGTTTTTTATTCTGTGGTGGAAACAAGCTTCCATAATATAGTTATAATTTTTTGTGTGAACGGGCTTTTAGATGTGTCATTAAGAATTATTAAGAAGTCTTTTATCTGACCCAGATGGGAGAGGTGAGAACATGCCCATGACCCTGACCGAGCTCTCTGTGTACATGAAGGAGCAAGAACAAATGAGGATCGAGAAAGAGCGGGAGGACGGTATGAACTAGCACTCAGTGGTTGTGTGTGGCCTGTGCTGTATTTTGAGTCGCTTCATACCAGTTGTGTCTTTTTTCTGACAGACTAACTAAACCGTTAGGCTTTGGAAATATCCTTATATCATTTTCCATCTTCCATCCTCTCAGCTGCCATCACAGAGGAGCTTCTGAAGTTAACAGAGGAAAAGCGGGATTTAGCTGGCCTTCGTGGCTTTGACTCTCCATTCTTCAGCACCACAGAGACCCTGACCGGAGTGCAAGAGAAACCCCTGCCCTCTTCTATTCTGGGCAGCTCGATTAGAGACCCTCACAACACTATCTCCACACCCGACAAGACCGAGATCACGCCCGTGGACAGAGGCAGAGTCAGCAGAGGCCCATCCCAGGAGCATCCCTGGTCCTTTCAGCCAGTGTTCATGCCCATCGAGCACCCAACACACAGCCACCTCCATCGGAGCCCCTCCGCACCAGAGGACGAGGCCCTTAAATACAGCTTTTGCTCCCCGAGCCCAAGCAAACCGCCACCCCTGCCGTACGAGGCTCTGTTTGACCTGGCCCTGCCTCGGGCGGCCTCTCTCTTCGTGGGGAGGAAGACTTCAGAGATTGTGCAGCGAGTAGCCTTGGAAAGGATTCAGAGAGGTGACGTGGGCAAGCAAGGGGAGGAGGGGGGTGTTGAGGGGGCTGTGTCTGCCTCCCCCTTGGAGGTGCTGGATCGCCTCGTGCAGCAGGGCGGTGACGCCCATGACAAAGTGTTAAAGAGGTAAGCCTTTTGCTCTCACTGTTAACTCTTGTTATTGCTTGTGGTCATGTGGCTTGGTGGTTAAAGGTCTGAGCTTATAATCAAAAGGTTGTTGGTTCGAACCCAGCAAGGCATTAAAATTAGTTGTTTCTGTTGTGTCCTTGAGTAAGCCACTTAAAGGGATAGTTCACCCAAAAATAAACATTCTGTCACTCTTGGCTAGATGTAAATAAAAGCCTAAATTTAATCTGTTCATCATATAAAGCAATTGTATCTCTTCACAAGACTTGGATTAAACTGCTTGGATTTATGTGGTTTTATTTTGCAACGCCTTCATAACCCTTTTGAATCTTCAAAGTTTTGTTTACTTGGCCTTTCAATGGAGGTACAGAAACATCTTAAGTTTCATTAAATAAAAATATCTTAATTTGAGTTACCAAAGCCTTAAGGGTTTGACATGAAGAAGTGTAAATGATGACAGAATTTTCATTTTTTGGTGAAATATTACTTTAACTGCAGTTTGGCCTAGTATCCACCAAAAGTGTGACATGACAAAATCAGCCAATCAAGACATACTTGATGAGTAATATAGGGAGAGACAATTACGTTTCTCACTCATAAATACAATTTGCTCAGTCATACAATGTGCTCAGAACTCTTAATTATGATATTTCTAACTCCACACAAAGGGCACATTAGCAAAATGCTAACAACCATCCGGATCATCTTAACCACAACATAGCGAGATGCTGTCAACCATACGAAACACCTTAACAACCTAACAGACCAACAACCTCCCGAAAACAGCTTAGCAATCATCCAGAATGACCACATAGCTACATGTTAACAACCAACTGGAACATCTTAGCAATCAAGTAGCAACTTAATAACAAGCTCTCAGAACTTCTTTCTTTGTGATAAGGAGGTTTACACATAACAAGAATAACTTGTTTTCTTTTTTTAGAAAATGTAAACAGTTTAGTTTACTTTTCAGTTTCTGAACTAGAAGACTTGCTAAAGGGCTACTACCCTTACAAAATCAACCATGGTTTTATTGTAGTAAAATAAAAGTTTAAATATAGTTTTTTTTTTTTGTAGTAAAACCATGGTTAATGTGTTGCTCTGAGGCTCTTTTAGGAAGAACTGGGTCAGACTAGTTCCAGATTTGCCCACTAACACGCTATCACACTGAAACAACTGTCTGCATTGTCCTGTGTCACGCAAATCAGTCCACAGCGCAACAGCAGAGCCTGTGTTAACAGAACACAATCAGAGCTCTTTCTCTCTCCTCCTGCCCTGCACAGGTCTTACTAGAAGACACGTAATTGAGTTGGGTTACTGGGCTCACACAAATTGAGGTGTTTTGGCTCTGGTCAGAGAGGGTTCTGTGTGGAAAGGCTTCTTCTGCCAGAAAAGCTGTGTGTCCGAAATTATTGCCACTGACCTTGTTGATCCTGTGTTTTCTCCCTTCTTTTTCTTCCAACATTTCTGCAATCGCTCTCAGATTGCCCCTGCCAAGTAAGTCAGCTGACTGGACACACTTTGGAGGTAAACAACATTACATGAGCACACGTTCGCTACTTGTGGAAAAGTAGTTCTTTCAGAGTACAGAGAAACAATGCTGTGTTTTCAGCAAGGGGATAAACATTTAAAGGATTATTAAAAGGATAGGGTGCCCATCCACATGACTTCCTTACTTCTGCTAAGTATGAAAAGATATTTTAAAGAATGTTGGTAATCCAGCAGTTTTGCACCCCACTCAATTACATTGACACATTTCTCAAAATACATTCTTTTATGTTCCACAGAAGAAAGAAATACATGAGGTTGACAAAATGATGATGACCGAATATTCCTTTTTGTGTGAACTTTAAGTAATTGTTTCCATTTAAAATCTCCTCTTATGTTGGTGGTCATGATGTGACAAGATGATTAATACACACTTTAGTAACACCCCTATTATCTGACACTTTCGGTTGTGCAATAAATTAATCATAGATGACAAATATACGTATGAATAGATTTTTTCGATTGTATAGTGCTTTACACAATACAGATTGTTTCAAAGCAGCTTCACATGAATAAAGGGAAAAATTACAGAATCTATTGTCTAAACTTTTCAGATATGAAAAATTCAAATTCAAGGAGCTCTAAGAAAAACAGTAGTGTCATTATTCAGCTCAGGTTGATTGTAAAACATGGTAAAACATCTCCTTTTTCCTATTTTACTTAAAAACAGCTACTTTTAAATGGCCGTCAATGAAGAAAGATGTACTTTGCTGGCAGATTGATAAAAAATGCTTAAATGCAACTTAATTGCTTTAATGCCTAAGACTGACAAAGATCTTACTGTTTGTATAATATATGAGTTATGTAGAAATCTTTAATTTCTCATGCACAGGTTCTGTTCCTCTGGACGAGCTGCACACACTGCGCAGTCAGCTGCTTCTGTTACACAACCAGCTCCTGTACGAGCGCTACAAGCGAGAGCAGCATGCCGTACGCAACAGACGTCTGCTTCGCCGTATCATCAATGCCACCGCGCTGGAGGAGCAGAATAACGCCATGGTAACCTCAGCTCAGAGTCATGATCTGTGGGACAGCATTCAGTTTGAGTCAAGGCTACCTGATATTCACCTTGACCACTAGAGGGCGGTAGAAACCAATACAGTTGATTGTATGGATGTGTTTGTTTCTACAGAAGGACCTGCTGAACTTGCAGAGTGTGGATATCATGTCTTTGAGAGAGAGCCTGCAGGTAGAGCAGCAGAGATACCGGCAGCTCTGGGACGACCGAGAGACTGTAGTTACACGCCTGCACAGCCAGATACGCCAACTACAACAGGCCAGAGATGACTACTACACCAAAAACCAGGAGTTACAGGTGCTAATCAATTTATTCTTTTTTCTAAGCTCAAACCCTAAAGCTGTAGAGTATATAACTTAATAATAGTAAATAAGATGGCCACAGCATTGTAGTTTAGAATCAGTTTGATCATTTATTATGCACCTGTGATCCTCCAATCAGAGTAAACTACAGGAATGCCAGAAGCGAATAGGTGAGATGGAGGCGGAGCTTCAGAAGGCAAACAACAAGGTGTGCCACACGGGACACCTGCTGAACCAGCTCACTGCCAAGGTAAAAACAATCACCCTCTGTCTCTCGAGCTCTAAAAAGAGTGGGTCTCATATCTTTTAGTCCATTTGAGTCTATTTTCTGAAGTAAATGATCATTTGTAATTTTGGAGTGAATGGTCCCGTTAAAGATTTTGCACCTATATATCATCTTCCCCTAATTTGTCCTTTCTTCAGTTGTCATCGAGTGAAAGTATACAGCAGCAGTTGAGTTTTCTAAATAAGCAGCTGCTGCTGCTAGGAGAAGCCCATAAACTGTGTGTTCAGGAGCTGCATCAGGCCGGACCAGATACTAGCAAGGTACAAGTCAAAGGAACAAGAAACTCAGTGTCTCTTTCGTTTTTGCCATAAATACAATTTATGTCATATTCCTCTCTGTCGTTGTCCACTTCTCTCGTGTAGGAGGTGCAGATGCTGCAGACATCCTGGGGGAAGGAGACGGAGCGTCTAAAGCAGAATCTGTTACTTCAGAGCCAAAAGCTGGATGCTGCTCAGCAGCGAGTGGCAGAGCTGGAGACTCAACTTGCTAAAAAAGAGCACCTAATTGCAGAACAAAAGAAGTTTCTAGAAGATGTCAAGGCTCAGGCTAAGTATGACCTGTTTTGGTAACTTGTATTTGCATTTATTGACACTTTGAAGGACAAAGCTTCCCCTCAGTTTTCTGTATAATATACTTTCTTGCTTAATTCCATCATTTCACAATGTCTCACAATCTTCCTTATTTGCCTTCTACTCAGAGGGGAACTGCAGGCCTCTGAGAGCAGATATCATGCACAGAGGCGGGTAACCCTGGCTCTGCAGACTGAGCTTCTGCAGCTCTACAGCAGGCTGGAAACAGAAGACTCCTCTGCCACTGCTTCAGCCTTACCGGCAGAGGGCGCCACTGAACTCCGCGGTTCCACCGATCCCAGGTAGGACTGATAACCATAGCGTCATTCAAATGTAAAGACATTTGAAACAAAGATACCGTTATCCAGTTCAGCATGCTACTACATCTGTGTTTGTATGATTTTATGATATGCAGTTTGTGCTGTTGGCACTTTCCATGAATAGGGTACCATGTTAGACTTTTACATTTTAATTTACATTCTTTTTTTTCTTTTGGTTTCATTTTCATAATTTTTTTTCATTATGGCCACCTCATTATTTTATATGAGGTTCACCATTTGTGTGTGTTTATATATAAATATATGTGTGTGTGTGTGTATGTATGATGTATATATATATATATATATATATATATATATATATATATATATATATTTGAGATAGGGAGAT